AACTTGCACTACCTTTAAAGAATCAGTATTTTGTATTGATATACATACTAGAATTTAATTTCGTTTCTTCCGTTAAAAACTAGACTCGAATAAAAATCTATCCATATAAATAACTCCTTCTAATTCATTTTGTACAATTTATGGTGAATTTTTAAAGTTGACCGACAAAATTTGTTTTGTACAGAATCTGCTGCCCGTTTTTCTGACATTTTCTTGGTTAAAAATTCATATCTTTTTGTATACACTTTGAAATTGATATACGTTTGTTTTAAACAAAACTAAATTGATATACTAACACAATATATAAAAATCATCACTAAATAACTTTTATAGAATTTCTGGTAAATTTTCAAACTCACTACCAGATTCAAAAATCTAAATTGTTTTCATTAATTTGCATCCTTAGGTTCTTCATCAATTCTTGCAACACTTCTAATATCAAGAATCAATCTTTAATCATAAAAATCACACTTCCCCTTCATCAATATCTTACCAACTTGAGCATGAAACATGAAGATTTTTATGCCAAATGAAAGAGAATTTCATGTAAGTTATTTTATCCTTAATAAACTAACTTAAAATTCTAGTGAAAATGGACCAAAAATCAAACTAAAAATTCTTACCTTGAACACTTGAAACTTTCAGCCATTGGAGAGTGCTGCTGATAAATGCTCAAGGTTTCTGGAAAAATTCTGATGTTAATTAGCTATTACACATGGTTAAATATCATTATTATTGAATTTTTTATTCAATTTAAAAAGAAATTCTATTTTTACCATTAATAAAACTTCATAACTATAACTTTACCACTCTATGACATCACCCCTTACCTCATCATATCCATAAAAAAAATATCTTAATTCTGATTTTTCATGTCTGTCCTTGTAATTTTTGAAAATTGCAATTTACTCACCTAATTCCAAAATTTTTTGCTTAACATGGAAAATCGACCTTAATTCCATTAATTCATATTAAATTTCACTTTTCTAAAATATATAAATAATATTTTCAACCATTTTATAGCATCCTTCAAATTTTCGTAAAATTTCAATTCAATCCGAATATTCGATTTCAATACCGAACTTTATTGCTTTATAGCTTTTAACAAAATTCTCGTACCAAAAATCTGATTCCCACTAAAATCTCTATTTTAATCTAAATTGTTTATTTACATGCTAAAATATATAACTTTTAAAAATTACAATTTCGGTCTCTACACTTTTCAAAGTTTATACTTTAGTCATTAAACATTCAAAACTTACATTTTAATCACTAGACAAAATTTGGGGTATTACATAGAGATGGATTGGTATGCTTCTTCCCTGAATGAAGACGGACTGGTTAAGTACAATACAACTTGACAAAGTATTTAAACAATCTATTACCCATGATTCTTGTAATGCACTTACAGATTACATAGCAGCATGATATTAGCCTCTATTATTTAATGCCTAAAGGATTATTATTTTTAGGAATTAATGTTACAACAATGGAATTATGAATATAGGTAAAAGTTTTTTTTAGTGGCAAAATAACGTGAATTGTATTGATCGGGGGCGAAGGTAGGGAAAATATCACCGTACGTGGAGCATCCTTGGACCTGGACTCAATGCAAAGATGATCCGACAACATATAATACATCGGCTTCACCGCCAAAGTTGGTCCTTAACCGCTTCTTAAGATGGAAAAGTAAGCTAAGATAACTACAAAATGACTGAAGGCAATGTACTCGCTTTTGAAAAATGTTTAGAAGCAAAAATCAATTTTAAAGTTGTTAAATGTTTGAATTCATCCCAATTAGGATTGAGTGCACACTTGCACGATATGAGTATCAACAATATATATTTGCACAAATTAGACATGTGTAGTCCTATCAAAATTTTAGCCCATAAATATATTTTGACATATGGGAACGATTCTGAAAAACACATTCAATCTCCTTCCTCCATAAAAGAAGATTATCCCATAACAAAGCCCTAATAATAAAATAATACGTAGGTAGATGTGATGAACAGAATAAAAAATGGGCCACTATTCAGTAGCCCTATGAGGCACTTCTCTAAGCCCCATAATTGATGATCGGGCCAGAACTAGAATTTTCAAGCTTTCCACTACCTAAAGCTGCTATAATTATGTTCCCCCCAATACTATAATTATATCATTGACTCAGCCTTCTTTCATTCTGCTCCACATTTTAAGCACAAAATAAATAAATGCTTCCCACACTAAGAGAAAGGAACATTTGTTTGGATAATCAATGAATAGTTTGTTTTGATAACAATATCTTTAAAAAAAAAAGAATATCTGTTGCTTTCACAGCAGGGGAATTTTCTCGTTTTCTGGAATTGTGAAAGAAATAAAAATGGTGATCACATATCAAAACCGGACAAGACAGAGTTCAGTGAGTGTTGTATAACAACTTGGAAGACTCCTTATATTACGAGGCTTGCACTGTCAGCTGGGATTGGAGGCCTCTTGTTTGGCTCTGACGTCACAGGTAAAACTGAGGTCTTTTTCTACATGATGACTGCTACAATTTTGTTTTATTTCTGCAAAAATGTTGAATTACAAGAGTCATTCATTTCTGGTGCTTTACTTTATATCCTTGAGCATTTCGGACAAGTCGACCGGAAAACATGGTTACAGATTACATGCTCTTTGTTGCCTTGCTTCATAAAAAAGAAAGGTATAATAACAAAAAAAACACTTCTAACGTTTGATAAAACAGTCATTTTGATCTCTATTCATTTTTTTAACACATTAACACTGTACATTTCATTTTAGAGGAAACTGTTAATCAACAAACAGTCAACACATAATTACAAACTTACATAACGTTAGATGATGACACGGCAGCGAATTGCCACATTAACAAAAGGGTATTTATATAATTTTTATTAAATAATTATCAACCAATAACACATGTCATCATCTCATTGGATTAGATATGAGCTCGTAAAATATGCATTTGTTAGGTATTTAACCAGGGTTGCTATGCTAGGAGAAAAGCCGTAGCACTTTACCATCAAACTAAATGAAGGAACGTCCCAGATAAAAAGCAAGTCCAATCTACCCATTTTCATTTCAAACCAACTGTTTTAGGCCCAAATCCTTAGACCTGGGTGCCTATTTTAATTTTTGTAGAATATGTGATTATTATCATTATTATGATTCATTATTACTTTTCATTAATTTATATAATCATTATTATTTTGTTATTAATTATTGTATAGTAATTTTATTATTATTATATTACACGTACACATTGTAGATATTATAGTGAGTATGGTTTTAAAAAAAAAATCTTGTTAAGAACCTAAAAATGGTTTCGACAGTGTTAGTTTTTAGGAACTTAGCTGGAGATATCGGAAACGCCGCTATTGAAGGATGGATGATTATTCTGGTGGTTTTTTCTTTTTTCTTTAAAATGGAAGTCAATGTTGTTTTGTAAGAATAACTAAAAGGATAGTATCTGAAGAAAGTTTTATAATCTCTAAACTCGAAAATTATGTTTATATGATGGGAAGGCTTGAAGAACAGTACGCAATCTTTCCTAGAACAATTAATAGTGTTTCAGACAAGCTGGAGCTGGAGTTAGATACTCAGAATTGCAGAGATTCCAGCATTTGTTCATTTGATGTTTGATGTCTTCACGTCATGAGTCCCCTAAATGGCTCTACAGACAGGCCACAACTTTGCTCCAGTTGATGCATTGTTGCTATGCTTCGATTAACAATTTGTTGAAGTTGAGAACAAGGTAGAAGAGGGTAGGTCCATCCTAGGGAAAATATTTGCGTCCAACGATGTCGATGAACGCCTTGAAACTCTCCGTTTAAGCAGAAAAAGATGATGAGCACGCCATTGCCCACAATCTACTACAAAAGGTGAAGGCTGCTTTGAGCAACGTTTTAGTTCCAAGGGGACTCCGCTGTTTTAACCGTTCAAGTGGCTCAAGAGTTGTCAAGAATCAAATACTGATATGTATTGTAGCCCAAGAATTGTTCAGTTTGCTTCAAATCAGATGCAATAGACAATATATTACGTTGGGACATGGAATAATCATTTTATAGTCTCTGAAAAAACTTTTAGAATTTAGAATCCATCAAATAGTCTCGTATCGGTGATTAAAAGAAGTATCATTCTTTTTTAAAGTCTTGCATTCGAATAGTTTTTTTTGGATAAGAAAATATATTATATCCAAAAGGAAGCAGAAGCCTGCTACAAAACGTTCAGTAAATGAAACAGAACAAGGGGAAACCTATACATCAAAATCAGACTATACCCCATTGATTAAAAGAGATAAATTAGTGCTATCTAATCTATTGATAGTTTTATTGCTTAAATGTAAACCTATAGTCTGCTTAATTACAAGAATAATCTCATCCACTGATCTGATGTTGCCTCTGAATATCCTTCGATTCCTTTTCTCCCAAACGGTGTAAAGGAATGCACACCAAGACAGTTTTTTTCTGAATATCATTCGAATAGTTGTATATGCAAGGTGTTTGTGTTATCAATAGTTAAAAAAAATTCGGAATAGACACTATCTTGTAGACTTGTAGTTACTCCAAGACTATTAAAAAAACTTTTGGAATTTAGTTTGATCTTGTATAGATGTTAGAATAATATTTAGATATATATATCAGATTTGGAATACATAAATATCATGTATTAGTACTTTTCGTGATCTTTATATTTATAGTGAATTATTATTTCACATTTGTAATGTATTTTATTCTGACTGATTTCCCTTATATTACTTTTTTACTAACAAATTCATAATATGTATGCTTTACACATGGAATATGGGTGGATGTGAGAGAAAGATCCTTTAAATGTGAAATATACCGTGTCGTTCCAGACTCGTTATTTGACCTTTCAAATGATCAATAAGGATTCATCACATTCACCTACATCAACAGCAACAATTTTGAAAGCATAACCCTTAGTAGATCTGTTCTCTTTGTTGCTTACCTTTTTCTTGCCTAAAAGCCCGGCTTAAGAATCAAAGCATGTCCTGAAACACACGCTCTTATTTTGGTTCTGCTTTTGTTCAACATAAACTAGAACATGGAATCATGACTTGATAGATTTAATAGACTACAAAGAAAGCATGTAACTAACCAAATTGTCCAAAGATTTGTAAGAAGAACCTCCGGGTTTTAGACAAAGATTCATCTTGTCTTTGAGTAGCTTGATTCTGTCTCTCATTTCCTGTCCCTCAGGTTCAACCATTGATCTCCTGATTGCCTTGTCAATCACCCCTCTCTCTATCTTGAACTCCAAATGAATCCCGACCTTCCATACATGGCTTACGAATCTTGCATCCGTGATCTGGTCTCCAAAAGCTGGCTGACAGATCATGGGAACCCCTTCACATAAGCTCTCCAGGGTTGAATTCCATCCACAATGTGTCCAGAACACTCCCGTTGAAGGGTGAAGCAGTACTTCCTGTTGGGGAGCCCATTTCACTATGTGGCCTCTTTCCCCTACCATTTCTACGAACCCATCTGGCAATGGTTCGAGCCATTTGCAGCCCTGGACTACCCCTGGTCGAACCACCCACAAGAAAGGCTGCTTGCTGTTGGCCAGTCCCCATGCTACCTCCAAGAATTCCGTCTCCTCTATAGCCGCTATACTTCCAAAGCTAACATAAATCACTGATTTAGGCTGTTGCTTATCTAGCCATGATATGCAGGTATTGTCTTGAGGCAGTAAGCTGCTGGAAGAAGCTGGAAAATACTTGTGGAAAGGACCTATAAGAAAAACTGGAATTGGAAAGCACAAAGAAAATTTTGTTACATATTCTTCTTCAAGATCTTCACAGGAGTTGAATATAATCCCTGAGGAGGCCTTGGTTCCTTCAACTACTGTATCAGCGAATTCAAAGAAGCTTCCCACATCAATTACTTTGAACATTGAAACGTCTTTGAATCTGAAATATGGAAGCTCTGGGACCTGGTTTTCTGCTTGAGAATCTGACAGGCAACAACATTATTAGGGTCTTCACTCATCAAAACAAAGCTAGAGCAAGTGATGTATATACCTTGCAATGGAAGGTAACCCTTTTGGAACAGCAATGGCATGGACACCATAACTAGAAAAGACGAGACATTACTTGTCCTCAACACAATCCTCGGTAGCTTAAGGTCATCAGCGACAGCTTGTGTGCTGTACCACAAAACATCAGTAATAAGGCAAGCAATGGGATGTTCATCTTCCAAGCTGGTCGATACCAACTCGGTCAAGCAATCACGAACAGGAGTCTGGCAATTGGAATTGAGGGACTTTATTAATGCCACGATACGAATAGGATCCGGTGAAACGACGTAATTTTCAGGTAATCCATCGGGAATAGAATAGAATCGGAAATGAGGGTAGTTTGCAGTGTTTGGAGAATTGAAATGAGTGTGGATTATGGATATGGAAAAGCCTCTTTCATGGAGGATGTTGGCAAGCTGAAGCATGGGGTTTATGTGGCCTTGGAATGGCATAGGAAACAGTATCACTCCACCACCCTTGATCTTCATCGCAGAATAATTTCCCAGATTCCGCTGTATATTCTCTAGTATATATAAAATATACGACACATGTATTGTTTCACGCATGACATATATAATGACAAAATCACTTGCAAGGCTATAAATGGATTTCTTTATTCAATCTTATCTGTTAGCAGGGTTAGAGAGGTGTTGGAATACGAACGCACTTAAAATTTTAGTATTTTTATTTATAATTTAATTTCATATTTGTTTTAAAAATTAATTTTTAATATAAATTCTTAAGTTTGTATTCTTAACTTAAGATCATGTATTGATCCCTAAGGGAATGTTTAGTTCACATGTGGGAATAATGTTTTTTCGGATATCCAGGTTTGGTTTAAGAGCATTCCCTCCATAGGATAATGAAGTATTCCCTATAGTAGCATATTTTAAATGGGTACTTTGCTAGTAATTTCATTATTTTTCATTTCTTAGGTATTAGATAATTCTTTCCCTTTAGGATAATAATACCCCTGAAATAGTAGAGCTATTTAAAATGATCTTTCATTTTATATATAATTACATGAGTATAAGTTTATTTTATTTATTTTTATTTTTTAATAATGGTTCCAAATTCTATTAATCATAAAATAATGTGATGAATATAAAATAAAAAGTAAAAAATATATATCAAGCTTCTATTTTATTTTGATTATTTATCATGTATGAGTTTGATTCAAGTTTTATTTTTGACATACATTTTATTACGTTTATTTTTCAGGATTAATTTATATAAAAAGATTTCTATATTTTATTTTTATGTTTTATTAATTTTATCAAATAATTTAATATGATATTTTGTTGTACAACTCATACATATATCATGAGTAAATCAAGAAAAAAAATGTAGAAATAAAAACATATATACATAGGCGTAAGATTGTACATCTGTCGACATTTTATACCTAAAAATAAACATATACTTACATTTGTATAAATATATTTTTATAATTTTAAAGAAAATTATTTTGTTTTTAGGAAAGCCTTAGTTCTGGAAGTCCCCCGAGCTACTTATAGAGAATGGAAAAACTAATAATATACTTATCAAGTTATTTTAATAATTAAAGTAATAGTTGTTATTATTATTAGAGGTTTGAAATTCAAACATTAAAAATTAAAAATTATAATAGTATTTAAATTTTTATTTTCAAATAATTAAGAATCTTTAAAACAGATATTATATTGTAATCCCTTTAGATTAATTAAAATAATTTACAAAAAGTAATATTATTAATTTTAAAATTTTATTTATTAAAATTTGTCTTACAATAAATTTGAAATGATTTGATTTAGACTATTATTTTTTTCATTTTAAATTCGGTTAGATTCAAAGCAAACATAATTCATATAAACAAATTGAAACTAAATTAAATTATAAAATTAAATATCTAAATTATAAACCATAATATAAATTTTTTAAATTAAATTAAATCACATAATACAATTCAAATTCAATTTTTTTTTCCAATTTCCATACTCATTACTATATATTTCTATCTAGTACCAGAATGGATTAGGGGCTGAGACCTTTCAAAACGTTCAATTGGTGGCTCAAGTACGCCGAACGTGTGGACTTTGGAGGATGAGGGAATGAAATTGGAGATACCCATGATATTTTTTATTTATCTAAAATAATTATAATACGGTATATATTTTAAATATTTTTAATTATTTAATTATAAATATATAATTATTTTTAAGTTCTGATATTCAAATTTAAAATTTTTATTTTCTTTGTAACTTGGTTTCACATGTGATTAGAGCTGTAAACGAGTCGAGTCGAGCTTGATTATTGCTGAGCTCGAATAGAACTCGAAAAGTTTAAAATTAAGCTCGATTCAACTCGAAAACTCACGAGCTAAAAATTATCAAGCTCAGCTTGAACTCAAAATATAATATCAAAACTCGACTCAAACTCGAAAAGGCTCGAACTAAAAAAAAAATCAGGAGCTCGATTGAAGCTCGATTCTAGCTCGAACTCAAACTCGAATTCAAACCTACAAAAATCTTATATTACATTTAAAATTTATTTTTAAAAATTTATAATTATCAATAATTTATTTTTAATAATGTAATTTTAAAAAATCTAAAATTATAATATAATATTTTTTCGAGTAACTCGTAAATTTTTCAAATCAAATATTAAGTAGTTCGTTTTAACTCATTGAGAATTCAAATCGAACTCGAGTCGAACTCATTCAATTCGAATATTAATCAAATTTTAATCAAATCAATTTTAAATAACTTACTATTTATCTCATCTCATTTATAACATTACCTTATACAATATCTATTACATGAGAAATGATAAGTGGCTGAACGAGAAGCTTTTCTGAACATTTAATGTGCCAAAAACGACAACCTGGAAGAGTGAGAGTTCAAATCTAACACGTCTTGCTTTTGAATATGATCACATGTGCTAACTACATCACCTGACAAACGCCAAACAAAAAATATAAATATTAATTTTTCCAACAACTGTACGAGGAGCCTGACAACTAGGCCCATATGTCTGGAAATTTAACCTCTTCTGCACTTGCCGCTCTCACGTCATAGAAACATGATATGTAGCATTAGCATTAGCGATAGGATGGGAAAATGATCACGCTACAATCTTAATATACTATTAAAAAAATATTATCAATTTTATTATTATTTAAATAATAAAATTAATAAAAAAAATTATCAAAAATTTTATTATTTCTCTCAATTTTATTATTATTAGATATTTTATTTTTATTAATAAAACCGATAAAATACTATTGACTTTATTTTTTATCGATTTTGTTATTGTTAGACACTTTACTAAAAATATTAATATTTTAAATAAAAATAATAATTTTTTAAATAAATTTTATCATTATTTAAATAATAAAAAACTGATAATAACGTTTATAATTGTATATTAAAAATGTCGCAATGTAAAACTTCCAAAAGGATAGAGCTTTGATCTTAAGATGAGACATGTTTCACTTTCGTAACATATTAATTAAATATTATTATTTCTTATTTTTTATTACTATTTGATATTTCATAATATATTTAATAGTGTTTGAAATATTCAAACTTTTTCAAAATAATTAATGTGACTATTAATTTTTTTTACATTTAATATGAATTTCAAACTAAAAATTAATAAATATAATTTTTAACTAATGATTTTCATTAATTAATGTGACTATTAATTGTTTTTACATTTAATATGATTTTCAAACTAAAAATTAATAAATATACTTTTTTAACTAATAATTTTTATTATTCACTGTTACGATATTTACATGGGAAGCTGAAATGCCATCCTGTTTTATTTACTTTGTCTTTATTATTTTGTATATTCCGTTTTTTATGTTTAAGATTTGCCTTAGGTTCAGATGAATTTGTGTAACGTATGGTACAACAGGCCCGCACTGTTTGGTTTTTTGATTTTAATTAAAGCTGGCTATTTCGTTTTGGTTAAAAAAAATCAATATATTTTTTAATTTCATATACATATAAATCATCACAAGAGATATCATATAATTTTGTATCATATATGTACGCATATTAAACATTATTTTCATATGATTCAATTATATCATCAACACTCATTTGAAGTATTCTGTTTAAATTAGTTGAGATTTATGAATTTTACATTTAAATATAATTAGGAAACATCCTAAGTTATTCTCATCGATAATTATATCTAATCATATTTCAAATAATATTTAAGTGTCGCTTTATATACTAGCTTATTATATCATGTGCAAGAGTTTACGAATAACCATTAGAATTGTTCAAAATATTATTAGATGTGTATATTGATAAGAAATACTTACTACATTTTTAATTTTATTTAGATACAAAATTTGTAAGTAATGATTAATTCGATTTGAATACTTTGTAAAAATGTTGATGATATAACTATATGTCATATGCATATGTTATGTATAATATATGTTTTTAGGTATTTTTAATTTTTCAATAATTTATAATTTACTTTTATTTTTAAAATTTTTAATTATATTTTTAGCATTTTTAATATATATATATATATATATATATATATATATTGCTTCAGTGTTTTTTATATTTAATTTTTTTTAATGTTAGAATATTTTTGAATTTAAAATTTTAAAAATAATATTTATTTTTCCTAAAAAATTAAATAAGCATTTGAATTTTGAAATGAAAAATAATTTCACACTCAAAATCAATCATAAAAATCAATTTAACACATGTAATGTCATCAACAATCGTGGATCGTCAAGCTAGCACTTTGAACTGTCACGTTAGCATTATAATGGTAAATGATGGAAACAATTGGTCGAAGAATCACATTGAATTTTTTTGAGTTTGAGGGTCATATTAAACTTTTTTTCCTAAAAAATTTGAGGACATCGGAAGCTATTAAACCAAATAGTTATTTATCTTATTTTTTAATAGTTCAATTTGATTATAAAATAATATTTATTAAAAAAATTCTTAGTTTAATAGAAATATACATATACCCTACGATACAACTGTCTGAACTCTAACCCTCTAAAAAGATAATATTTTTCATTATTAAAATTATTCAATAAATTTTACTTATTTACTCTAATAGTAATAACATCGATTTTTTAAAAATAATTAAAGTAAGTAAAACCTATTAATTTAATTTTAATTCTTGATAACTAGAATAATCGTGGATGGAGACAGTTTGGAAGCAATAAAGAAGCTCACCTGTAATTGCGGTGATGTATAATTTGTAGAAACCATTAATTACTCGACGAAGCCTAATTCATCGATTCCACATCACTTATTAATGCATGTAAGTTTAGTCGCAGATTCATCTTTAATTTAAATTGGATAGGTACTCATTATAAAATATGAACTTTCTTTAATATCTATTTTATGAATTTTATTTATTATGAAATTTTATTCGTATATAGTTTCCACACAAATTTTATATTATTAATATATGTGTTTATTTTTAAAAATATTTTTAAATCTATTACTAAGGAAACAAGTGAAGTAAACATTTTATGGGAAAACTATCCGGGAAACGTAAGCTGATGTTTTTGTCTACTTTAATTATTTCTTTTAAAAAATAAATAAATAGGGCAAAATTATATGTTACGTTTCTTATCAAAACCTTGACAAACAGTTCTCCATAAACCAAATTTGTAACCCATTGATCTGGTAGTGTTAGAAATTTTAGTACATGTAATAATAGTTGGTATATTGTTAGAAAGTTATACTGTTGAAAATTTTGGAATCCGTTATAAAATTATTAGAATTTTTGGTGGTGGTTAGAGATTTGAGAATCTATTATAAAATTTTGGTACTGTTGACAACATTACTATAAATAAATAAAATTTTGATTTTTTCCTGAAAATGGTAGTTTTGTATTTTTTTTCTCCATTTTGAAAAAATAAAAATACAAAACGCCGTAAGATGTGCCAGTCATACGAACAAAAAATGCCGCAATAGGTCAAGATCTATAGCGGCGTTTTTGTATCAAACGCCAAAAGATATCTATAGCGGCGTTTATGGAACAAACGCCGCAAAAGGTCGATATCTATAGCAACATTTTTGGAACAAACGCCACAAATGTCGATATCTATAGCGGCGTTTTTGGAACAAACGACGCAAAAAATTAGATCTATAGCGGCGTTTTTGGAACAAATGCCGTAAAAGGTTAAGATCTAAAAAAATCATATCTATAGCGACCTTTTTGGATACAAACGCCGCTAATTACCTTTCTTTAGCTAAGATTAATTGATTTTGCATATTTCATTTCTGCTATACATCACCTAAATTTAATATCATGTAGCTTTATTTAATTAACAACAACCATACATTTTAATTAAGACACAAGTTATGCAGAAAAATACTTAACAATAAAATAAATTAAAATTTATAAACATTAAAATTAAATGTAATGAAGTTTGACATTGTTCTCTAGAATTTAGTCTAGGTTCTTTCTTTCAATTAAAAAAATATTGTTCACTAGAATTTAGTCTTCATTGCTCCTTCGTGGGGAAAGGAAGTAAAAAAACAGTTTCCTTGTTTGATGAAGTATCATTAAGTTTTTCCTCTGTGTAAACTATATATGGAGAAACTCTTGATCTATTTCACCAAATAAATCCCCTAGCTCTGGTTCACCAAGAAGACTCTTTGCGCGCTTCAGTGCTTTACTTGAAATAAATAACGACCTTCCACCTACAGTAGAATGTTCTATTGGAGGTGGCTTGGGAACTGGATAAAACATTAAACAAACAAATTAAAATAAAAGAGAGAAGCGTTTACTTGGAGTAACAGTAGATGTAGTGTCGTATTCATCGAGGATAGATAATGCTTTTGCAATTGAAGATTCTTTCAACGCCACAGATTTCCCCAATATGGTTCTAAACATCGAGTATTTATCCACTCCTCTATCATTTTTCTCAATAAGCTTCGAACATCCTACGTACAATCTATGAAATTTGAGAGTACAAAATAAAAATATAGCAGCGGAAAGATTCAGAGATTATTACCTTGAAGTAGGAGATCAGCCATGGAAGGATATGGAGCAATAGGAGTTCCTTTCGGGTCATCATCGGGTTTCGACGACAAGAACGGATCGAAAGCCTCCCAACGATAATTTGATCATTGACTATGGGAACATGGGAGAAACTGAGATGAAGCATTCTTCGACAACTAGCAGTAGATGGGTTTGGGTAAACGGCGAGAATGAAAAAATAGATGAAAGGGGAAAATGAAAAAGATTTTATGAGAGAGAAATTTGGTTATACCAAAATATGTAAGGGCATACCTTAGAAAAGTTGATAACGAGCTGGAAATATTTGTGTCTTGATAAATTATTTGATATATGGTTAAAAACTAAGGTATAAGATATAAAATTGGATAAAGTAAAATATCTAATCTAATTTGTTACTAATTTTAGTATCCATCATAAATATTAGTAAAAAAATGAACCCTTATATATATTTGTTAAATAAAAAATTATCATTCATATTAATCTTACGATAAAAAATAAAGAAAGGAAAGAAATCCTAACCCTTAAGAATCGAACTTTGTAAGAAGAATAAAGAAATAAAAACTCTAAACCTAACCTTAAACTCAAAATTATCACACATTTTCAACATACTCTTCCACCGCGAACCTCCCTAGTTTTAGCACGCATTTCTTCATCTTTATGTCTTTTTGACGAAAACCAGAGAATTTAATTATTTCTGAGTTTATTTAAATTTTTAGATTTGTTGAGGATTGAGAAGATCAACGTGATGTCTTTTTAGAGAAGAATATTAGATAGTAAAAGAAGAAAAAACATATTGAACATGAAAAAAAGGGGAGTGAATCATATAGTTTAATTTGACAATTTTAAAAAATAAAATTATATATTACAATTATTTAGTATTATTATATATTTTTTTAAAAAGTAAGTAAAATTAAAAAACCAATGAAATATGGAAGGTTATTTTATTATTATGTATTAAATAAGTGATTTTTAATATATATATATATATATATATATATATATATATATATAACATGATGGGTACATCAGATTCTCGAAACAAAAAATAACATTAAAAATTTAGATATATCTCATAAATCAATCATATATTTAATACTATTAAAAATAATATATATAAAAAATGTTACATCTAATCAAAAGAGTAAAATGCTATATGAATGTATATCATTAAAATTGTAAAATATATAAAAACTAATAATAATATGAAATATAAAAACTATATTAGAGCAAAATAAAATATACTTTGTAATTCAAAGAAATTATTTTATAAGGGAACATAAAGATTACAAGAAAGAAGATTTTGAAAAGTAATGTCTTTTAAATTGAATTTGAATTGTTGAACTGCTCTTTGAATTTTTTTTAATAATCTTGAAATTAGTCATTATCTTTATTTGAATAAATAAATTTAATTTTAGGTAGTAGATAAAATTTCCATTATAAATATATAAAGGAGCTCTATCCACTGCCGATGCAGTTCCTTTCTTTTGTAACCCAAAAAAAAGTTTTATTAAACCATCTTGATAACCCCATGTTTGACTATTTCACAGTTTGATTTTGAATATATTTGTTATAACGTAAAATACGCCGCCATTGAATTTATCCTTTGTAAAACTCGCGCCTGATTACAACTTTGTTGGGTGGGGGGAGGGGGAACATGAGAAACTATAATTTAATTTGATTTTTTTATAAGCTATAGTATTTATTAAATAAATCAAATTTACTTTTAATTTTATAAAAATCGATAAACAATTATTTAATTAACTTTGTATTTTTAAATAAAAGAAAATTAATTTGATTTAATTTTGAGATGGTGATAAGGTTTAAGTTAAATATTAATTTCGATTGAATTTTTATAAATTTCTAGTTTAATTTAATGATTAACAAGGGATTTTATGTTTAAATATCCTCCTTTTCTAACTACACACCTTATTTTTTTTCCTTTTTTTATGATAAGTTTGATTATAAATTTTGGTTGAATATTAATATTTATGACTTAATTTAATGGTGAGACGTGTTATTATCTTATTAATTTAAATAAAATTATTTTAAAAATTATAGGTGAGTTGTTGATTAAGAAAAAAAATGACGTGAAAAAAATAAGATTATGTCCATATCATCGTTACCGTTTCAATAAAAGAGTAATCAAAATGGGAAAGAGGAATAAGTGAGTATTAAATAAGAAATTTAGAACAACGACCATCCCGTTTTTGTATATATATAGTATAGAGGGTCAAGAAATTTAAATCAAGAGATTAGCATTTTTGTTTACTTGGAAAGAAAGACATGGAGACGTGCAAATTAGAGAAGCGAGGTAAGATCTTCATTTTGACTTTGACCGGCGAAGACGAGCACCGTTTAAACCCAATCCGAATCGACGCAATCCGGTCAGCACTTAACCAAATCCGCTCCGACTCAAGCTCACTTTCCGGTTCCGTTCTCATCACCACTGCTCAGGGCAAGTTTTTCTCCAACGGCTATGATCTTGCCTGGGCAGGCTCTTCACCGGACAAGATCCGTTTAATGTCTTCCAAGCTCGGAGATCTTGTTGCCGACCTATTATCCTTTCCTATGCCTACAATCGCCGCCATCACCGGCCACGCCTGTGCCGCCGGAATGATCTTTGCTCTTTGCCATGATTATATTGTTATGAAGAAAGATCGAGGGTTTTTGTATATGAGTGAAATGGATATTGGGCTGAAGATTCCGGCTTGGTTCATAACCGTCATAAGGTGGTTTTTACTTCAGAAAACCTCTTTTTCACCTTCATTTCGACGTTTCCGATGAATTTTCATTATTTTTTAAAGTAAAGTTACACTCCCTCCTTTTCATAATTATTATGTCATATTGATCAAACATATAATTTTAAAAGATAAATTTAATCACATAATTAGTTATATAAAATAAGAAAATAATAAAATTATCTCTAGAAGTGATTGATAGATTAGTTCTAATAGATGTTAAAAAATAACATAAATAAAGATAAAAAATAAATATAAATATTATTATTTGTTGACTTTTTTAATAAAATAATTTTAAAAATAAAAAATAGACTAATTTAATGCAACAAAGAAAGTTTTTTTTTTCCTCCAAGAAGCAAGAAAGATTCGGTCAATATTCAGATTTTTATTTATTTTATTCAAACGTTCATTACTATTTTATTGATTTTAGCTGCAAGATTGGCGACGCTAGAGTACGGCGAGACGTGGTGCTGAGAGCAAGGAAGTTAACGGCGAAGCAAGCAGTGGAGAGTGAAATCATCGATGCTGCGTTTGAGACGGTGGAGGAGACGGCAAAAGGGGCTGTGGAATTAGGTGAGGAGTTGGTTAAAAAGGGATGGAATGGCCAAGTTTACAGTGAGAATAGGAAGGAGCTTTACAAAAAGATTTTAGATAAGCTTGGAGACGATGAAACCACAGATGATGTTAACAATGTTGCAATCGCAACCTCCAAAATGTAATGACAGTGATTTGGCTGACATACTTGTCTTGAATAAGGCTCATATTTTAGTAACTCCGTATGTTGGGAGAATGTTGTTTAAAAAGTGCTGTTAAAGGTTGTCAAACTTGATATCCATTCATTGGTTTGAGTGAAAATATAACTCTATCTTATTTTATTTTGTGTGAATTTGAATTCTGATATTTATCTTAGAATGTGATATTTTTATACTTAATAAAAAAAAGTAGTGGCACTTGAATTCTGATATTGGTTAGAATCTGATCCATGTGAATAGTTAAATTCAAACATGTTTAGATTCGAATTTTGACATTTATCTTAGAATGTGATATCTCTCTACTTAATCAAAAAAAGTAGTCACACTTAAATCTAATATTTGGTATAAACTGATCCATGTAAATCATTAAATCCATAAATGAGTGATTAGGGACCGTTGTCCTCTCTAAAAAAATTAAATTATAATATATTTTTAATTAATAATTTTTTTCTCTTAAAATTTTATAAATTTAATTTTTTTAAAATTTCACATCCGTTCCGACTATTAGAATAGAGCCAAACCTAACTGCTCCGCAAATGAATAATCACGGAAAAGGATTTCTACTGTTGCACTCATTATTAATATATTGCATAAAAGAAAAGTCGATTTTTTAAAAACAATTAGAGATGGATGAATTAGAAAATTTGACTTTCTTTTCTTATTCCTTCTTAATTTTAGTGATTAGACTCAATTTTGGTTATTTTATAAATGCTTCCTATCCTATCATATCATCTATAATATCTACTAATTAAAATAATTTATAAACCCATATTATCTTTTAGACAAATAAAAAGATGATGATTTGAAAATTATAACCCAAGTGTATAAATAACATGAAAAAAATAGATAACATAAATTATTTTAATTGATATGAATCATGGACGCTTGAAGCGGTTGAATGTTAACCCAAAATTATTCTTACCTATTTTTAAATTCTAGTTGAAGTTTAACACTATGGAAATAAATTATTAAATATGAAAGTATTTACAATTGCAATCAACTAGTGGCTGTAGTTTAGTGGTAAGAATTCCACGTTGTGGCCGTGGAGACCTGGGCTCGAATCCCAGCAGCCACACATTGATTTTTAAATTTCGCTTGTACAGTGCTTTCGATGATTGATGATGCTCAACGGCTGGGATGTTTTGCCTATCTTCAACGTGTTTTTATATTTGTTATTGCCACTACGAGATGACTGATTTTTTTGAGGTAAACTACACTTTTAGTATCTCAATTATTACTTTTATTCCATTTTAGGTACTAAACTATTTTTTTTACAAAATCATATCTAACTTTTAGTTTTGATTTTATTTTGGTCATATGCCTTTAAAAAATTAACGGTTATGTTTGACCAATCATCATAAAGTAATGCCACATCATTATTGAAAAAAATAAAAAAAATGTCACGTCAGTTGTTATGTTAACTTTTTAATTGTGAGTGATCAAAATGAAACCAAAACGTAATATTAGATATGATTTTGAAAACAAATAGTTAAGAGAACAAAACAAAATAAAAGTGATAATTCATATACTAAACGTATAGTTGCTTTTTTTTGGGGGTGTTCAAACGATTTTTCTAAACATCAAGAAAACTGAAGGATATGTTAAAGTTTAGGAGTGAGCAAAACTCGACTTGAAAAATCAATTTTTTTACATTCGATTCGACTTGAAAAAACTCGACTCGAAAAACTTTTAAGTTCAAATCGAGTTAGGTAATACAACTCAAATAGCTCAAATAGTATCTCGAATAATTAGAATTTTTTAGTAATTAGTAGATTGATTTTAAATTTGAGTTAAGTCCCTCGACTCTGTATGATATATGTATATCACATATGAAAAGGATAAGAAGAAATATATATTGTATATAGTTATAAAAAAATTAAATTAGAAATAATATCATAATATTATAAATATTTACAATTAAATTTAAACAAAAATTTAAAAATTCGACTCAAAAAAGTTTCAAGTAAACTTCAAGTTATAAACTAGAACTGTCAACCCAAATAACTCAAAAAATTTTAGCTCGACTCGATCGAATACTCACCTCTAACTAAGCTATTGCATACATTTTTTATTGGGTAAATTATACGGGTAGTTATCCAATTTTATTTTATCAGCGATAATTGATTATTAAAGATGATTCAACATTTTTTTAAAAATTGATATTATAACGGATTTAACTTTTAATGGTGTAACTTTTATTTTGATTCTAAAAATTCTAACAATTAAACATTTTTTTCACTGTATCAATTTAAAGAAATCACCAATGGTTAAGAAAAAAATTAATCTAAGAATCAATATATAATTGATGGCCGTTATACTAAAAAAAGCCAACATATTTACAGCTACAGCTTCTTTTCCATTTAAGTTTGGTGATTGCAATTCTGAACTTAACCTACGACCTTCAACCAACCAACCACTCCAAACAGCAACTCCTTCCGGACAAGAAACGGCTGAACCTGAAATTTAATTTTTCCGATTCATTCATTCAGCCCCTTAAAGTTCATTTGCTTCGTGCTCCAACAATCTCCTTTCGAATACAAGTTCGAAAGCATTAAATTCTTCCTCATCCTCTCTTCTCTGATTCCAAACTCTCCTAATCACGTGGATAACATTGAATGCTTCGGGCAGAACTAAAATCAACACCTGTTTCCCTCAGCCAAATCCAATTTTATAATAAACCGTACTACGGTTACCATCATGAATGATATACCTAAATGCATCTTCCACAAGCACCAAGTGTTCAAAAGATGAATGACTGTATTAGTAGCTAATCCAGATCAAAATCCATTTTGATTATAAAAAGCATAATTACGGTCATGAATGATATACTCAAGAACATGAATGCATCTTTGACCTAAAAGAAAAGATGAAATACCATGCTAGTCATTCTCGTTACATAGCCAAGAATATAATTCCATGATTAACGTATCAAATTAAATGCAAGGACCTACATGTACGTAAAACGATGATTATGTCAATAGATATGAATTGTCAATAACTTCGATGAATCAACTTCGCACGGTATGACATATAATATAAAAAATGCAGTTATAAGTTCATAGATTTCCTCATGGAGTGAGGTTAGCAAACAATGAAGCACCAAACACTAACATCCTTGCATGTCTCGCAATATAGTTTCCTTGAGGTCCATGAATGGTCATTCACTCATGGGGAGGGGCGAAAGCAGACATGGACCTCATGCTCTTCTGGTCCTCCACGATGTTTGGGCACAACAATCTCGAGCATTGTTCCAGTCTCATCATGGTATGCTTCCAGTTTAGCATTTTCAGGAATGCGGTTCGGAAGGGGAATCTCTCTAATATAGTCCCCTGGAGGGCAGTGTTCGGGAGCTGGATCTGTTAGTTTAAATGTCCTATCGTATCTCTTAATGAATGGCATGCAAGCTGTACTCGCACACGATATCTTTACAATTCCATGTGAGGGAGTATTTCTCCAAGTAACTTTCACCCTTTGAAGATCCGAAACGGGCAAGCTGACGATGATCAAAAAGCTTTCTTCATCTTCATATATCGTTTTTGCTGCTGTTACGGGCCCGTATACATTCTTCATTACCCCACTAAATTCATTCATCCAAGTTGGCTCAACTGGGTGGATTTTCATGTCCAAAACTTTGTTAGAATGCAGATTATTAGGTAAACAAGGATCCTCATCATTTCCATTCCGGAAATAGTCCTTGTTCTGTTTATTACAGACAGGAGATAAATCCATCCCATTACCATTGCCATGTTGCATCGGCTGAGTTGATAAATTTAAACCAGTACCGTTAAGCAGCTTTCTAGTGTGATAATGTAAATTACTCTTTAGAGGGGCAGGGGGACGCTCAAGTTTGAATTCTGTGATAATAAGATTCCTCCAAGATGCAAAATCACTTGCTTCAGGAGGAATAGAGAAGTTTATCTCCCTACCTGTAAGTCCTCTCCATCTCCTCTTCTCTTCATCATCAAGATTCGAGAGGTTTGGTGATGCCACAACTTCAATCCCATGCAAACATTGAGGATTAGATAGACCCCTGTAGTGTTTCCTCTGCATTCTATGAGATCTAACAAAACCCTTACCAACACTAAACGGAAACAGGGGCTCCCCTTGCCGAGAATGGCCATTCATGTAACTCCTCAACTGCATCTTACCAAGTGCATTTTCGGGCCTTTCCTTGAAAACCCACATATACATGTTCTCCATATCATGCTGAACCAAGAAAGCATCTAGCTCCAAGTCTGACTTGTCATAACCTGACAAACCGTTGCTGTCCCTGATTATCTTAGATTTTGATTTCCCATTTAAAACAGGCTTGAAGTAGAAAGTAAAGAAAAACCAAGCACCCCATATACTGTCAAGACGCTTGATGCACTTCTTAGCCACTTTTGGGACATTGAAAACCGCCTCGAAAATCTGGGGTGTTAGACTAACATCTAAGATGTCATATGAATCACTCCATGCCAATGGAGGTGAGCTCGGTTCAGATGATAATGGGAGATTGATATCAGGTGGCCGAGAAAGCATAATAGATCGGTTCATCTCTCTCTCCAATTCATCCGGTAGAAAAGAACCAGAATCCACTGACAGAAATGTAGAGGGGTGATCAGCCTCCATTGACAGAGTAGTGAGAAGAGCTTCCCCCATTCCTTTTTCCTTGCTCTTCCAACTATTTCCTCTTTTCCCACGATTTAAAACTTAAAACCCCTAACAATGAACAAAATCTCCCTATTGACATCTTCATAAATCAAATGAAAAATCCGAGCCAATCGTAGATTCATAAACCAATCAATCCACAAAACCATAGGTAAACCTCATAAAAGTCTTCATGATTCAGTTCCAAGCACAACAAAATCCACTAAGTTTCATCAATCAATCAAATAAAACTACAGCTGAACGCAACTAAGGGCAGTAACAGTGTTAACAACAAAGAATCCAACCTGAAAAAAATACATACACAAATACCCAATTCAATATCAATTTTTCAATATAAAAATGGATTCACAGTAATAAAAAAGATGTTTCCTTTATATGACAGACAAATCATATACCAAGGCCACATCAAGCTAGAGTTTTCATTATCTAAGATCTAAAATACCCTAAAAGAATTAAAGATTCAAAAGTTTCACTTTCTATCGATTTTCTTACCCATCGAAATAAAAAGAATATAAAATGGAGAAAATAAAAGTAAAGAAAAAACAAATCCATGATTCTGCACGAACCAGAATCAAATAAAATTCCAACAGAAAAGGGAGAGCCTCAGAAAAGGAGCAGATTTGAAAGAAAATCAAATCAATCACACACACAAACTAACCCTGGAATGGTAAGATAAAAAATAAAAAAGAAATTTGATTTGTATTATTATTACCTTAGAGGAGAGGACTTGAATCCAGAGAAAATTGAGAGCTTGAAAAAATATGATCACCTTAAGTGAGAGAGGCAGAGAGAGAGAGAGAGAACGGAAACTGTTTAAAGAGACGGAGTTGAATAAGGAAATGATAGAGACATCGGCGCCGTTCCAACTGAAGCGTTAGATAACGGAGACGGAAATTTTTCTTTTCTCCTTTTTTTTACGTCTCTATCTCTCTGACAGAGTTTTACTACGGTTAAAATACCTCAATGGCCACTTAAATATAGTAGAATTTTATTTTGACCATCAATCTTTTAATTTTATCAATTAGGTTATTTAACTATTTAAAAAGTAGTGACACATGTCACTATCGAATCAGAGAACTAAATTTACATTTAAATTAAATTTAAGATTAATTAATTGAATATATAAATAATAAATAACAACTATATCAGTATGCTATTTTTTTAACTATCGCGTTAATTCGTCTATAAAATATTTGATTAAAAGAATTAAAAAAATTGATAGTCAAAATAAATTCTCATAGTTAAAAGTTTAATCTTTAAATTCATATAGATTATTAACAAAAATAAATCTTATTTATGGAGTTAAAAATCCTATACAATTTATATAATACGGAAAGTGTTTATGTAAATAATCATAATTAATTTTTTTTTAGATTTAAATTGATGGAATTTCAAGTCAATTGATAATAATATTATTGAAACATTCAAGAGGTTACGAAATTATAATGTACTTTAAGTATGTAATAATTTTCAGTTCACTTTAAATTTAGAAAAATGAAGTTGTGAGCAAGTAAATTGAAGCTTCACGGGAAAATATTAACCAACAATGGCGGAATGAAGATTTCTTCAAATTATCTCAGAGATGCAGAAGATGGATCTTTTATCACAATCATCGTTGATAGAAACGAGGAACTAGGGTTTATTCACATTCTTCAATAGTAAATTCGTACTTCTTTCTCAAGCTACCACCAATTCATGTATTATTTTTTATCATATTTTTGGTGTCATTGCAAGTGGTCGGATGTTGTTCCTTCTGCTTTTGATTTCAGTAGGCAGCCTAGCTCTTTCATTTTTCCCCTCAAACAGATTCGTCGTTCAAGGCCCAGTGGAGTCCAGTAGTTTTCCCAGTTGGTACTGGCTGTTTTTTGGGGTTTTTCCCGATGCTTACCCCTTAGCCTGCTTGATGCAGTTTTGTCCCTTTGTTACTTACTGGTCTTGTGATGCTAGGCGCTGCGTGAGTATTGCTATGGACTGTTTATAGTGTTTTGGTTTCTGCAGGTATCTCAGTGTGCTGCTTATGCAGCTGCGTGGTGTTGGGTCGCCTATAGCTTTTATCGAGATGACGGTGCTGGCGTTGTTGGGTTTTCCTGGAGGCTGTTGGAGTGGCGTGAGCGTTGGTCCTTGTAGGTTGTCTGGCTGCTCGTCAAACACCTTCTTAATCTGCCTTGGTGTTAGTCCTACAGCTGGTTTTTGTTTTCTGTCTCTTGTGCTGTTTTTGCTGGTGCTGGCGCCTATTTTGTTCAGTTCTACCAGCTTTATTCCGATTGTGGTGTGGTCTTTTAGGGTTTGGTTTTGGTTTAATCCTCTGTTTCTTTCTGTTGTATTTGGTCATGATATTGGACACTCTTTTTCCTCCAATAAATCTAAAGAAATTTTTTTAATGAGGTCCAAATCATTGTCCTTGTCTCGTATAATTTATTTTTCTCATTATATCATATAATACATCATTTTCAAGAAACTTTTTTTATCATGTTTATAAAAATTAAAAAAAATCTGGATAAAACATGAACTGGTATAATGCAAGTTGGATGTGGTACTGGTTGCTTTTATTTCAATCTCTTTACCTTTTCAATAAGTGAAATCATTGATTGTCTGAGTGAATTTGAGTCTTTAAGGTTTAGATTTAGAGGGTTATAGATCACAAATAATATAAATACATGTAATTTCTTGTTTTTTATGGTCTAATATATATTCCAAAAACTATTACAACATTCCTACAAAATTTTTCTCTACAACATAAATTTCAATAATGGTAGAGACCACAAAAATAATTACATATCTCTAAAAATAACTATTTCTCGTGATTCTAAGATTAAAACCTACATAGTCGTATCTAAATAACTTAATTATTAAGTAATCTTCAATCACTATAATTATAATAAAGTTAAACTTAATTGCCAAATAAAATTTGAATCAACATGTAACAATATCTCTATTAATAATAATTTTTTCATAAAATTAAACTTTCAAGTCTTCAACAACTTTGATTATTACATATCAAATATTTGTTAAAGTGTCGACACTAAATCTTCAACAACTTAATTTCTTATCTAATATCCATTGAAGCACTGTTAGATCAATTAAAAATTACTCTCATTACAATTTTAAATTTGTTGCAATAAAATTTAATCATTAAGTAGTCTTCAACCACTATAATTATAATAAAATCAAATTTAATTATTAATTACAATTTGAATCAATGTGTTAAAAATGTTTAAATTTTATAAAGTTTAATTCCATATGTGATAGGAGTGGTGATAGTTTATATATAGCATTCCCTTCTCTCTTTTTATTGGGTATCAATGGACACGTATAGGGATAATCATGAGACTCAAATCCGACGGGTTTCGACTTGAGAAAAACATATATTTTCACCTTTACATTTAGGGATACTTACAATAATACCAATCTATATATTATTTTTTTCCAATTAAATCCCTATTTTTATTAAATAAAAATAATATTTTTTAATAAATATATTATTTCGGGTTGGATTGAGTTAAAATCAAGCGGAGGATGTATAATTTTCAAGTTAGGTCGAGTTGACCGAAAATCCGACTCGACCCATACTCATCCCTAGTCATCTCCCTCACATGCATGTAACATCATTTTCAATTGATCCGTGATTTTAAATAATTATGTGTCTTCCACATATATTGCGCACATACTATATATTCTAAAAAGTTTAAATTTGAATGAAAAACCTTGTATGATATTGTTGGTATAGATGTTATTGTTGTTATTCAACATGTCTTCACTTGTATGATTATTAACTACCAACTTAGTCTATTGATCGATTATGTAACACCCCAATTTAGGGGCTAAATTTAAGAAATTATAAAGTGGTGGATTTAATTGGTATTTTGAAAGAATCGGTGGATTAAATTGTAAAATTTCACAGTTGGCATACCATTTTAAGAAGTACAGGAAGTTCAGTGACTAAACTCATGGTTTAACTATTTTTATTTATGAGAGAATTTATAACCCCTCCCGTGCTGCAGAATTCATTTTTCTCAGTTTTTATCTCATGTTGACCCTCCTTTCAACTACGATCTACTCGCCGTCTGACCTCCGATTGACGAATCGAAACCACCATCGTGTTCGTTGTCGACCGAGGAACAAACCCCCTCAAACCTTTTGTCGTGAATCGTCGTCGTTCGTCGTTAATTTCAATCGGAAGTATCATCGGTAATAACTCGATTTCAGTTAGTTTTCGTCGATTCACGATGATCCGGTCATTCGTTTACGACACCTCCCGCACCATCGTGTTTCTTGCATCGTTCCGAGTCCACCGGTGCTCTCCGTTTCTTTGTCGTCGCTGGTGCGTGGAGGGGTGAGACCGTCAAAGTTTCTGACGTTTCGGAATCGAGCTCTCCGCCGTTCAAAATTGTGAACCGATCTTTGTAAGTGCCTTGAAATCGCTTAAAATAATTTTTAGGAATTTTTCCGAGAATTTTACGACACCATAGCTCTGTTCACACGCCACCCCCAAGAGTGGGCATCGTCTGAGTGATAATTTTGTAATTAATTTATGTTTGGGTGCTATTTGTGTAAAATTCGGGTGTTAGTTTAGTAAATATTTGCATAATATGGCTAATTTGGTAATTAATTTATGTTAGGGTGATATTTGTATAAAATGGTCGAATGTTGATTGTTCATGCTTTGACCGTTGACTGGCGTTGACCACAATTGACCAAAACTTTGACTGTCTTTGACCGGGCATTAAACGACCTTTGACTTTGACCGAGTATACATATCCTGACGATTTTCGACGTTCCAAATCCGATTTTGCAGTCCGTTTTTCGAAATTCAGACTCGAAGGCCTCGAAATTTCCAGTCAAACCCGTTGACTTCGATTTTGACCGAAAATTTCAAATTTTTGAAAAGTCATATTTTATGTTTTCGACGTCCTGAATCCGAATTCTGTTTCGCCAAATTCGAACCCGGTAAGTTATTTTTGACTGATTTATTACCCGATTCGATCCGTTTATCGCAATTAAGCTCTATTTTTTTTTATGTAATTTCTGTTGATATGGATCCGAGGAAATATTGGAAGATGATTTCAAGATCAAGGGCGTTCGAATGGAATTTAATGGTCGATCAGTATTGCACGAAAATTGAGGTAATACTTTACTACCTCTTTATGCTTTATGGAACATGTTGATATTGGTAAATGCATGAATAAGATAACGTTGATCACTTTTGTGGACTTGAATAATTTATACAATCGATATGAATGTGATAGAAATTATGTAACTGAATACGGATCGAATGACTAATATAAGAGATTGATGAATTGTTAGCATTAAATTACAAGTTCGTGATTTGTGATAAAGAAATCAGCCCCTGGATTTGTAACTTATATTTTATATCATCAAAGGTTAAATGTTAAAGGTACTTGGATGGAAAATTATAAGAATACTCCGGTAGGGTAAAATACGAAAATACCCATATGTTGTAGGATGACAAGAATTGTCCCCGGAAGTTGGTTAATAACTCTGAAAAGACATATTGATCCGATATAATTACAAATGTGCATAAGAAATGCTAGTTTTGCTTGGAAAATTTGGATAACTGGTTTTTAATACCAAAAAGGGTTTGCGCAAGATGCTAGAAGTTTGTTAAGGAATCATTTCAAGATCAAAGAATGTTCGGAAAAGCGATTAACTATAGGATCTCTAAATTATAGTTATGTTCGTTAAGAGTTAATACCGACATTATCTGGCTAAGAAATTACGAAGATCCCTTGAGAGGTAAAAACAATCCGAGTTGACCCTGAATGAGAAAGTACTTTGAGGATTCATTTTTAACTCGATAAATTACTTATTTAATGGT